GCCATGGCTAAACACAATCCTGACATGGTGACGGCGTTCTGGCGACACGGATGTCCATACGACCTACCGGAGCTGAAACCAGGCAAGATGAAAGAGATGCTATGGTACAACCCCGACCCGAGAGATAAAAAACTCCTCTCAGTCCAGGCTGACTTCATGGATGGAATAAAAAACAATAGATTAGATTCCGTAGTAAACGCTATTCAGATGGGTGCAGAGCCTAAAGGCAGCAGTGTAAAAATACCATCTACTTTACACTATGTCGCAGCCAGTGGTAGTCATAGCATTGCTAAAACTCTTTTAGAACACGGGTTGGCGGTGAACAAAATCAACGTAATAGGACAAACACCTCTTTATGTAGCCGTTGAAAAGAAAAACTTGCAAATGTGTAAGGTGCTTTTACAAAACGGAGCTTGTTTCGATTACCGATGTAAAAAACTGCCCAAAAATCGAACAGTAAAAATCCTTGTAAAAGAGAGTGATCAACTTAGTCAGTTGTTTAGTCTGATTTATAAATGTTTCAAGCTAGCCAAGAAGGGAGATTTTAAAGTGTTAAAAGTACTTAACAAGTTAAAGAAGTCGGATGAGCAGGAAATGTTGCAAGTTTTGATGAACTGTGAGAACCAGAGAGGATTTACTCTACTGAATGTAACATTGGCACTGGGACATGTAGCCTTGGCTGGTGAGCTGATGCAGTTTCGATTGAACAACAAAGCACACAAACCCTGAGAGGTGTAGTTAAGAAACAAACATTGCAATAATATATTTGTGGTCACTGTGCAATATGCAAAACGCAGATGTATAGTCTCTAGCAATTTGTTATTGAAACATAATTGAACTATAAACACTTAATAAACAGAATTATGCAATATAGGCCTAATGAAATATTTTATGTAATGACTAATTCAATGTATGAATGGATTGTAAAGTTGAATATTCTTATGAAATTACAAGACAAATGCAATTTCATTGTAAGCTTAACGTGGTCCATTATAGCACAGGTAAACATTAGTGATATATCTGGTGGGAGAAGTAGCCTATGTTAATTTGTTTTAATGTTCTAATTTTGTAATAAAATACCAAATTAAATTACATGTATTAGGATAATCTTTGTGTTATGTTTTGTGAAGTTTGTGTATCCATCTATTAGCTCCTGGGACTCTGACTAATTTTCTCTGCAGGCTAACTGAACTATATCCCATTTTTAAATAAGTTTTACATTTGTATAATACTCTTTTATAGGCCAGTAAAATTAGTTAAAAAATAGGCTGTGCCTGGAAATAATTCTCAGAAAGCTGGAAATCGTTTTAATCCTTTTGTTTTGTATGTAAGTAAAAGGATTTGAAGTTTGTCCCATTTTTCCAGGAGAGCTTCTGACCTGGGACCACAAAAACCTTGAAATTTAGGGTTATTTTCTAGTTTTTACTAAAATGTCAAAGAACCGTCCAGCCTATACATGGTAAAAGAGTTATAGAGCATAAAATTCCGCATCCATTGAGTGTATGGTGATGAATGTCGAACCAATATTAAGCTATTTATAGTAATTTAAATAAAGTTATTTTATAAAAAATTATTGAACATTGCATATTTAACATTATATTTCTTCTAGAAGATGGATTCCAAGTACATTATTATCTACAAAGTAATTCAAACGAATTACAAATACCCTCACCGCAGCAAACCTGCAGACTAAATGATTTTCCATTTACCTGGCTGGATTTATACTAAAATATTTCCCTAAAAATTTGTCAGATTTATTTCCTATTTAATTAACATTAATATAAGTGAGTCCTTAGGTTTGCTGCTACAGGGAAGATATTGAGATGTGTTTTTTTTATTGCAATGTAGATAGCTTAGTATTAAAAAAAACAAAATTTCTAATTGTTGTTTAAATATTTCTATAAACAAGCAAACTTCAAAAGTTTATTTATTCTCCATAGGAATAACATGGGAATTTAAATTTACAATTTTTTAAATTATCCCCGTAACTGTTGGGCATACAATAACGCTTCAATATACAAATAAATTATTTATTTGTTTAAGCTCTACAAAATGCCAATCACAGCTCTGGAACAGAGAACTTTAAAAAACATGCATCGTACATTTGACTCCGTTCTTCCGATAAGTGCAACCACTTTTACACCCTTTTGCACACTTACATGAGATATTGTTAAGAAGATCTGGTGGTGCAGCTTCAACATTTTTTGGGATTTGGAAGTATCCCATGCTTAGATGACTTCCAGCCCCAATCAGTAAGCAATTTCAGCCACCAAATGCACGTAGAAACAGGATATTGCTTTTAAAGGTCGAATAATATTTTAATTTCACTTGGGAATAAAACGTATTGCTGGACTTCCCTTTCCCCGGGTTTCAAGAGGTGAAGAGGCATATATATAGTGGCTGATTTGGGAACAAATTCAGTTAAGAGCACACGGAGGTCAATATCTTGCCCCACGATTATAACACGTTCTGACTGCTGAACTAGTTAGATGGCTTGCATGACGATAGTAGTATCTGCATCCTCGGCAGCTTGCTTGACAGTTTTCTTGCTTCAATCTTTGAGTATTCATGGTTATGAGATTGCGTTTATTTCCTTCATTTGTAAGAAAGTGTTCTTATGGCAAGGTGAGGGACATTGTTTCATCAAACTTGACACTGGCTGCAATGTATTTACCCTTCAGCGGAATCCTATGAAGAAACCAATGAAGACTCAATTCAACCACGTGGAAGGTAAAGCCTACTAATTGGGGCTATCTAAGCATGGGATACTTCCAAAACCAACAAATGTTGAAGCTGCATTACCAGATCCTCTTAACACTATCTTATGTAAGTGTGCGAAAGGTTGTAAAAGTGGTTGCACTTGAAGGAAGTACAGAGTCAAATATACAACCCTCTAAAGGCGTTTCTTGCACCAACCCACCAGGGGAAGAAAAACCAAAAATAAGCTATGAGCACGCACAGAGGAGGAGGAAGTTAGATCTGTAATTCATGATTCACGACAAAAGAGACAACAAAAATTTATCAGTTTTTTGTAATTCGTATTAATTACTTTGTAAATAATAATGTACTTGGAATCCATTTTTTAGAAGTAATATAAATGTTAAATATCCAATGTTCAATGATCCGATTTTGATGAAATTTGGTAAAAACGTGTTAACCTACATTTATTCTAATGAGTTCACGACTCATCATAATCGTACTATGGGAGCGGGGGCTTATGGGGGGTTTTATGGGGTAAAAATTGATTTTCCCATTTTCGAACCCAAAAGCACAAAATTTCATAATTTCTCTCCAAACTATTTTGTACAGCTTAAACAAATAAACCATTTATTAGCATATTGAAGCGTTGTTGTATGCCCAACGGTTACAGGGATAAATAAAAAAACTTAAAATTTAAATTCCCATGTTATTCTTATGGAGAATAAATAAACTGTTGTAGTTTGCATGTTTATGGATGTATTTAAACCAAATTTGAAAACTTTGTTTATTTAATAGTAAGCTATCGACATTGAAATGAAAAACACATCTCAATATCTTCGCTGTAGCAGTAAACCTAAGTAGTCACTAAAATTAATGTTAATTAAACAAGAAAAAATCTGACAATTTTTAGGGAATATTTTAGTATAAATCCAGCCAGGTAAATTGAAAATCACTTAGTCTGCAGGTTTGCTGCGGCGAGGGTATTTGTAATTCGTATTAATTACTTTGTAAATAATAATGTACTTGGAATCCATTTTCTAGAAGAAATATAAATTTTAAATATGCAATTTTCAATAATTTCTTAATAAAATAACTTTATTTAAATTACTGTAAATAGCTTAATATTGGTTCGATATTCATCACCATATACTCAATGGATGCAGAATTTTATGCTCTACAATTCCTTTATTATGTGTTTTTCTGTAGGCTGGACGGTTTTTTAACGTTTTAGTAAAAACTAAAAAAATAACCCTAAATTTCAAGGTTTTTGTGGTCCCAGGGCAGAAGCTCACCTGGAAAAATGGGACAAACATCAAATCCTTTTACTTTTATATAAAACAAAAGGATTAAAACGATTTCCAGTTTTCCGAGAATTATTTCCGGGCAAAAACCTATTTTTACTGGCCTGTCGGCAGAGTAGAAATAAAAAAAAGGTCAATAAAAAAAAAAATAATGTAAGCAATCTTTGTACTGTAAACACTACATTGTAAATATATATATAACTGATTTATCAAATTTATTTATCCCTGACTTTTGCCCTTGACTTAAAACACCCTGTATTTACACCACTAATAAGTCCAAAAAAGACAAGGGTCAGTTGATCTTTTCTTTTTTAACAATAAAACCTGGTTAAAAAAAAGTGTATCTCAGCATTAAACTGTGTTGACTAATGTAACAATTATAATTCATTTTTAAGGATGTCACGGATTGTCTGACAAGGTACGTTTTTACCATAATTAGTAATGTAATAAGCTAAAATATTCTCAGCAAATGTTCTTTATATTTTTCTCAAAATTTAGTCAAAGTTTTCCTCTAGGGCAACATTACGTTACTTGACTCAATTGCATAGAGCACCCATGATTTCTCTATATTTTAACTAAGTGCAAGATTACTTTAATGATGATGGGCTTACCTGTAAAATTCACAAGACTTAATTCACAAGATAATTAATCTATAAACATTTAGGGAAGGGGCAGGGGGGCTCAACAGAAATATTTTTATGATCCAGAAGATCTTGGACATTTGACATAGAAACATTCAAATTGATTAAGTTACCGGATAAGTAAAATGTTTGAAAAAGGAAAAAAGTCAAATTTTGAATGGAATAACTTGATTGAGAATGCAATCAGTTATATTTTTACTGAGTATATGTTTGGGGTTTACTTATATATCTTTTTTATGTTATGTTTTTTATAGCAAGATTTTTTGGATTTAGTTGGGCTATGAAAACAGTATTAAAACAGTGGTAACATCTAAAAAAAATAAGATAAAAGGAATAAGGTATGCATTGAAAGAGAGAATATTTTTTATAAAAAGTATTATTTTGTAGATAAATTAACAAGACTAAAATTGTATACAAAACTTGTCTGAGGCGCCTTATTCAGTTGATTAAATGGTAACAATAAATTTAAAATTTAATCATAACTAGCCCACCCTCTCTCAACTTTTTTTAAAAGTATTCACTATTATAAGTATGTAAAGTACAAGATGGTCATCAAGAATTAGTTAATCATAGTACTAAATAGTATTAATTAAAATTTAGGCTGAAATCAATATGATTTAGAGAATCGAGCACAAGCTCTAATACTGGATCCAAAGTAGTAGACTCCACATTTCTGAAATCATCTTTAACATGTATAGTTTGGCTCATAATTATTGACATAAATATACACAAATGTGTATTTACAAAATTGCAAAGTGAGTTTCTGGTGTATTGAAGTAGTCTGATTCCTAGCCCTATGTGCAATTCTTTGTATTTTTATTTTTAATCCGGACATTCTACCCATTAAGGCCAGGCATACTGACTCGTGTAATGTTCAAATAACTTAGAACATTACTAAACAAACATGATTTACACAGTCAAGTTTAAATAATCCATGATAAAGCAACTAAAAGCTACACATACTTTGGCTTCAAAGTTAATTTTAAACAAACTTAACTCTAACAAAAGATACATTGAACATATTAGTCTTATTAAAGCACAAGTATCACACTTACCCTGATATCACTTATAGTGATTCATTTACCTGTTAAAAATAACACCACTGATAAAACTAACATCAATGTCTTGGCAAGCTCTCTCGTCATCAAAAGATGGCTCACACTGGCTGAACCGAAAGCAAACAGTCTTTGTGAACGCAATATTCGATAAATCGCTCAACGGATACTGTCCCGCAGATAACTCAAATGTTACGATGTAAACGTGCCTCGGCATAAACCACACCGGCTGCGACAGCCTCACCTCTTGTGTGACGTTGAAGAAAGCTGTAGTTCCGCTCCACTCGGTCCGATTGATCACATTCCCTTCCTCATCACAAACAGTTACGACTAGATCTTCCGGATAATGACTGACTGATCCTCGGCCCATAATGTAGTCAGCCGTAGTTGCTATACGAGTGAACACCTCAAAGCCAGTAACCATCACTTTGGTGTCCGAGCTCACTTTGCATTTGATTGTCCCTGAGTACATGTACCTCTTACGCTTTGTCAAGATGTGTCGCAAACAGCGACAAGAGACTGACATGAAGCGCTTCCGCATCTCTCGAGTTGTGTTGAACCCAACAGGCAAACTGATGTTGTCAAGGCTGTTGTTGTTGATGCATGTTTTAATCGACCTGATCTCCTCTTCACTCAACAGTCCAGATGGTTCCACAACGTCGGATAGCTCCGTGAGAGACAGGGTGAGGAAACGAACCTGCAAGTATAAAGAGTAACTCAAGATGTATGAAAGATAACACATTTACCGGTTATATTAACACATTTACCGGGTGTCTGGAGACTCTACATAAAGAGTGTGTGGACAGGAACTTCTCTTAAAGGTGACCACGGTCATTCAGTGTTGTACCACCAATGTATATCGATCAAAAGTTTTGTCTGGTATATATGTGGAAGTTAGTGAGTGTAGAATATCAGGGAGGCATATGTCTCATTAACCAATATCCAAGATTTATCGTTCATTCTGTAAATTTAATAATACATTATGTATCCGTTATTTGAAATAACAAATTAAATTAATTTATTAAAGTGTCACGATTCATCCACGATATCTGTGAACTTGTTTTGATTATGTGTGTGAAAGCAGAACCTTTTGAACATACTAATCATCTTTGTGAAACATGACTCGTGACAAACTTTTAACCATCTATATAAATAAAATTAGAGTTTTGTCATTGCTCAGAATTATATTCTTTTAGGTTATTTTTACGTTTTATACATTAAAGAAGCAGAAACGAGTCTTATCTCAATTTCTGTCTGTCTGTCTGTCCCTTTGTCTGTAACACTCAAGATGGCATTTTACGCAATCTTCTCCGTGAAAACCAGAGTACATATCAAGATCCAAGTCATTTTAATGTATTCACTGGATTGGCGAGAGTGTCTTTAGTGATTTAAATATAGCCTCACTACTTTGTAAATAAAATTACGGACGTTCAAAATTGCAGTTTTGTGCGATTTTTGTCAAATTTTCGTTCAATTTTTATCACATAATCGTCTATGAAATAACGAACAGCTGTTCGGATCAAGATTATTTTTTCTAGCTGTCAATGACATGTTTACAAATGTTGTTTACAAATACCGCAACTATTTCGAATCACGTTTTGAAAGCAAATCCCAACCAAGTGAGATTAAAAACGTTTTTCTTACATAACGGATTTAATTAATCGCAAGTGCAATAATATAGTCTAATAGTGTAACCGTAAATGAAATTAAATAACTAGACATCGTCCAAATCGGAACCAGAAATTCTTTGAGTATAAAATGTTTCTTGAGTTTTGACAACCAGAAAGAAGAAGACCTTGAATCAGTGTTGTATAGGGCTGTGACACTGAAATGATCGTCGCCAATAGCTTACAAAAAAGGTTTCCACTCATTGACGGCGCTTCAATGGCGATTGTGTAAAGTGTAAAGTAAAAAATCACAACTGCAGTGGGTGATTGTAACAGAGGTTTAACAGAGGAAGTGCTAAACTCGCTTTTCCAATGTGTCACTTTCTGTTTCTACTCACCGTGTGATGCAATCGCTGGACCATACAGCCAATAGGCCCATAGCTCATATCTTGGGTACGTAAGCCTACATATTTATTCATAACAACCTTTTTGACGACGATCCTTGATACCGGTACTTTTCCATAGAATACATGGCCTACCTACTTAAAAAATAAAATTACAAATGACCAAACCCCCAACATTGTGTGATTTTCGTCACATTTCCTTCTAATGTTAATAGATATACTAATCATTGTTTAGAGAATGCGTAATCTATTAAATAACAAAAAGTTGTTTGGGTAAGGTTGCTTCTTTTTCAAACTGACACCGATAATTTTACGCTATAACTTTTTACGAGAAAATCCAAAAGCAAGAGATCAATAACCTCGGGACTAGATATTAATGTATTTAATTGGTCCGATTTACTGTAATTCTTAGGTAGGTTCTTACGTAGGTACTGGTTCTTTTCCTTAGAACCGGTAGTTTACAAATTAGATATCGTTGGTGTTGCACCTTATTTATTAGAGCCGTCCGTATTCAATTTAAGTGATGTCTTAACTCTGTATAAGTTTTGCTTTTTCTGCCTGGATTCCAAATCTTAGCTTACCCGGTATGCTAAGAAAATGATAACCTATTTGAGTAAAACATTTGTTGGGCAAACCATCATGAATTGTTTACGCCTTTATATTGTTTATGTATCAATAGTTCGTGGCCTTTGTTGGATTGTTTTATTGTGTTGTTTTGTTGTATGTTGGTAACGCATTAATGTCCTTATTTCTCAGTGTTTCACGGAATGGACAAGAGCACCTTTGATACTGAAAATGTCAACCGGAATAAAGTGTTAAATGGTGAGGTTGAGGTAGTACTTTAAATACGTTTAAGTTAACCGATGTGGAAAGTAACTTTCAATTATAGGCCTACTTTAGGGCTACGCTTCATGGATCTATAAAACAATTTTAAGTTTAATCATTGGACATATGGACCAACACGATCCGGGTGACATTTAATTGCGAAGCATTTATTTTGGCTTGAACTGTCAGATACTGTATTTGCGAAGGTTTATATATAATAGTTTTGCCAGCATATCTGCAAATATGCAAACTAATTGCTGTTCTTAATCTTAATATAAGAAGGTTTCAACTGACTACTATAAGATCCCCGTGCGTAGAACGGGCACACAGCTAGTTGTAATTAAATATTGTTTTATATCATACTCGTCTATTACTCTGAATCGATTGGTCATCTAATAAATAAATCTATTGATAACTCGATGTGGTTCATATTTTTAGCACCTGAGATCTTAAATGTCACCAGGTAAAATTTTGTATAACTATAGGGTTGAACCTTCTCTGTGAGTTCATCTGTAGTTTATTTTGTAATATAGGAATAGTTATTAACTCATACTTAATGCCCCAAATTTCCCCGTTACAACTGGAATCTCTACATGAGTGCAACGGCTGGTAGTGCTCCTGTTAAGGACAATTTTTGGAAAAAATCAGCAAGTTGGTGTGAGAAAATACGTCCAGGGGGATATTGATACACAAAAAGATGACACAACGTGGCACTGATATTTTCCCCTAGAGTAGGACTTTTAAGTGAGAGAAAATTAACAAGAAATCTCACCATCAATATTGCTAGTTGTAGTACTAATTTCCATGAGCAACTATAAACATAAAGACATTATTTCATGCATTTACACCAATAGCTCAGTTAGGAAGATGTGTATCTTTTAAACCAAAGCTAGATGAAAGGAAAGGTTGGAATTGTTGCCTAAAATTAAGGTAAGGAGGATGTCAGGAGTCGGTAGTATACTTGTAGAGGGTGGTTCTTAATGCAAACGTTCATTGATGATGAAGAGAATGAATACAAAAGAATTACATCTAAGATTTAATTTATCTATTTTTCAAATTTGCTGATTTTTTTTATGTGGAAAAAATGTATAGGCATATGTTGAAGACGTGTCTTTAAATATTTTATTGTGTTATTGGACGTAAGTTTTCTGTAACAAAAAGTTTAATTTGTTTACTATACCAAAGGACAAAAACTATTCTATTTAGTTTGAAAATCAAAGACAGTTGTTACTAAGATATAATACATTGGACATTATTTGCTCACTTTGCTAAGAAGTCCTGCTTGGTTGACAACCGCTCGTTTGTTTGCGGCGGACGGCGAGATTTCTCTTATAGAGCACTGAGCTGACGCCCAGTCTGCAATCAGCTGATACAACTCCGCCTCCAGTAGGTTGATACTGGGCTGGTCTAGCAGACGACTCAATGTCACCAGACCAATGTTCTCATCAGGGTTGACCCACATATCACCAGGGTACTGGCACATCACCTGTTAAACGATTATATCAGCTGTTAAGTCTGGATATTCAGCTGATATACACAAAAATGAACCTTCTGTCCTTCAACATTATTGCAACCATTTGGTTGTGGTGAAAAGCTATAAATATATCTTTGATTACCTAATTCAATTTGGTCAGTTACATTAGAGATAAAAAAAAAAACCCAATAAACTGGCTGTAGTTTCATGGTCGTCTGTAACATACAAGCCTATTTGGGTTACCAAAAGTCCAATCCTCAGGAATCAAGATTGAAATAAATTTATTACTTCTCATTGAAAATACCCCCGCCACAGCAAACCTACCGTCTACACGAATTTGTATTTGGCTGAATTGATTTTCAATAATTGATCTACTTAAATAATATTAGGTTTAACGAGCACCTAGGTTTGCTTCTACAAGGAAACTAATAAAGTGTGTTTTTAAGTAAAATAATTATAAATAGCTTAGTATAAAATCAATACATTTGCCAAGTTTGATCAATCAACTTTATTTGTAATACTAAGAGAAAGATTACATTACTACATAAAAAATAATGGACTTGATTTTTATTTGTATCAACTATACGAGTATCAGGTATTTTTCTGATTTATTTGGTTACATATCCTCAATGTATGGCGTATTTAAAAGAAAATTATTAAAAAAATAAATTCACCTTGAGGCAAGAAGAGAGTAGTTCCTCTTCGTGCAATTCTTCTGCAATCGCCAAAATGTCCCATAAATTATTGATGAACAGGTGATCCAGTAGGTAGTCTAGGCACACTCTAGCTAAGTGTGGAATCATGTACTTCTTAGCTGCATACAACAGTTGTCCTGCAGTGTCTATACAGTCTAACTCTGTACTGTCACAGTAGATGTATCTAAAACACAGGTAAGATACCATGTTGACATCAGAAATCTTATTGAACTGGGGTAAATGTCAGTAAATATGTATAGTTTACATAATGCTTCATTACAGTGATGAGTGAACGTCAATAATCAGAATTGATTGGGACCGGACCCCATCCGGATTGTCAAATTATCCGGAATTACCTTAAAAAAGGAAGAGCCAGCACACACTATTTGAGTAGAAAACTTTAAAAAATTATATATATTTTTACTATAGGTACAGTAAAGGGTCTACAAGGAGATGAATAATTAATTTTTTTTTATGTTAAAGCACTTTGTCTTATTTAATTTTGAACATGTGTTCAGTGCATGGTAAATTCACATGACATTACAAACTTGAGCTTTAAAAAAATGTTTGTCAGGCTTTCGAACTGAGGTAACTTTAGTGGTTAATTTTTTGCAGAAGACAGTACAAAATTGTATTTTTTCTAAAGACAAATCTGGATTATTGACGTTCTAGATTTTTTATATACGAATTATCGACGTTCTACTGTATGTGTATCGCCTTCATTCCTACCAAATTTGGAACCGAATTTTGAAATGGTTACTCTAAAGCCCGCTCCAGACATGCGCCATTCGCAAAGCACAAAATACATTACGTTCGGCAATCTAGTTGTCTTGCTATTCGCCGAATAACGAGTAGACGTCTACACACATGTGTTGTTTTCCGAGCAACTGTTCATTTGGGGAATAGCAAAAATATTTGTTCACTTTGATGTGTGCAAAAATAACGACAATGAATGGGAAAACACGACCACGAATGTTTGCTGCTTGCCAAATAGACAAACACCTATTCACACTACTTGCAATTTGGCGAGTCGTTGTTCGGTGCTTGGTGAAAAAGTAACACACAAGTTTTAAAATACAAGAATACAGTAACAGAATAACATAACAATCCATATTGTAGCCCTTGAACTGACAGTTTTGTTGCAACTGCAACATTGTCTACGCAGGCAACACATCAAAAGATTAGAATAAGTACAACATAACACGTAGTTAACAAGAAAAGCGCTGACATAGTGGTAACTGATCGGATCCGGTTACGGCAGTAGACTAAACACGGAAACAAGTCAGTAACATTAAAACAACAGATGGTGTTAAGATGCCTATTTTGTCAACTAAATAACAAACATAGATGATACAATAAACCATTTACAATTCAAGTTTTTTTACTTACTTCAAAAGAAGACGGAAAGTTTGCGGCTCAAGATCAGGTACGTTGATGATTTCACTCTTTTCTGCCAATGTGCCATAAAACAATGCTTCAAACACAGGAGAACTAGCAGCCAGCACCAACTTGTGAGCTCTCAGAATCTGAAACATCAACTGAGCTGCTAAATGTGTTTTTTTATGGTTAGTAAACTTGTGTTTTAAAATAATTTATTGAATAATAATTGCGACCTCGATAAAACAAATCGCAACCCTATTCTAATAAAAAGAAATTAAAGGAGCATATAACAATAATAATATTTAACTTCTAGCATTAGATAACTTATTATTTAAAAAATATAGGCTAACTTAATACTTTTGGTTAGTTTATGTCAGCTCTTTCAGTTAGGCTAGATACAAAACCAAGAAGAGAAAAGTAAGTGTGGAGAAAAGAGGAAGATGGTACTACGTATAAATCAAATGAATATACATTGGATACACAATTAGCCTATTTGATGAAGCTAATATTTTTTTGTATTACCTCCGTTTGTTCATCTCCTGCTCTGAAGGCACAGTCTGACCAATGACTCTGAAGATGGAGCTCCTTAAATCGAGATATTAGACTGGTCTTATGAATCTGCCAATCTAGTTGGGGACGTTCCATCTACAATGATAAAAATATTTTTCATGGCTTCAATTCTTTAGTTATGCTTATCCAATTACATATTCAAGCCTAATACCTTTTAGAGAACTTCCCATAAGTTATAGCCTTGGGAATATCCTATTACCGTAGGTCTCATGGTAAGACCTGGACACGAGACCGATTTATTATTTTTGTTTTGATGTTCCCAGAGGTTTTTTCACCTTAACACCAGCCTCCTATATGATGCTAAGTAAGTTACTGTTGTCACCATGCAAATGCATTTATTTTATCACAGCAATGCCAATATAACAATATTTCATCTACAAGGTGGTGGAATGAATACATGTAACAGTCTGATATATAGTAAAAGATCAAATGTCTAATATAGGCCTAAGCATTGAGTTAAAGTGGGATACAATTTTACATTTAAGGTACACACTTTCTGGCAGGGCATAAAATAACTCATTGCTGAAATTTTGTCACCCAGTGGCTATGGGTGGTGCCGGCATTTTTTTTATGATTCACATTTTCAATGTATCGGAATTTAAAAAGTATTTAAAAATTTGTGTAAGTATTTTAGAGTATTCTCAGCTTCCGTTAAGTAAACAAGCGATCAACAATGGAACTGCCATTTCTAACTTTGAGTATTTCCTGACAATTGTATGTTGTGTGCAATAAAACAAATAAAAACTACAAAAGAATATTTTTATTTTACAATCTCACAAGTGAAGGTATAACATTAATGTACAATGCTCTTTGAAATGTAAATGTTACATTTAAACTAGCACTTTACGTTTAAAGTCGTTTCCAGCACCATGATCCAATCTTAAACTGAGCACTTTTCTTAACTAACGTAGCTTAAAATTGTAATTGTTTTTCTTTCCCATTTATGTACAGAATTCTAGAGCGAACAATGCAAATTTGGAAACAATAGTTAAAAGATTTCTGCTTTTTATTTTATGGCAGGGCCTACATAATCTGTACCGGTAACAATAATAATTAAGGTTATGATTTTTTTATTTAAACATGTTTGTGTTCACAAATTGTTTGAGGTTTGAAGTAGTCCACTTTTGAAATTGACTATGATTTTGGCCCAAGAGGTCGTGAAGGGAGCCTTTTGGCCTGTTACAACGTTCTAGAATACGTATTTAAGAGAGATTACCTATAAGGACTATTTATAAGCAAATATAATCGGAAAATTAATTAAAAAGATACGTAGAAAGGTGTGATTTACACTTTAATTTAGCCTGTGCAAAACTTTTCTGGGGCAGATCCCCCTGTATAAGTCCGGCGCCACTGTCATCCAGTGGAAATCCCTTAAAATATGCTTTCTGGTAAATTTTTATGTGATTAATTTTAATGATAAGAAACCCAGTGCTATACCAACCTAACAAAATCAGCGACACGCTTTTAACAGACTTCTGCCATGGCAGTGCTACCTCAAGTTATAATTTTAGCTCAGTGGATGCAGCACTATTATTTTTTTTTCATTTATGAAAACAGCTAATTTGAACTAAGCAGCAACAAAAAACTGTGATACATAATGAGAACTGTCTGTTTAGAGTTATGTTTATGTTTTTAATTTCACAAATAATTTGTGATATTTTGTGAATCTTTAATAATTTATTTTTTTCTATTGTTTGGGTGAAGTGGTAGAACATTATGGCTATGGTAGATGTGTAATACTATAGTATACCGTAAATTTAAAGAAGCAAATTTTATCATACTTTGTACTCCCTCATTGCAAACGCTAAGCTTGAGTATAACTGTACTAAGCATTTTATACTTATATGCCACTCCCGTACGAAGGACGGGTACTCTGCTAGTGTGCCAATAAAGATGACTTTGACTTTGACTAATTTAAATTTGCTTAGTCTGCAGGTTTGCTGCGGCGGGGGTATTTTCTTTCACTGTGTAATGACAATGTATCATACAAAATAGGTCACTAACTTAACTGAAGTTAAATCGAGTTTATAGTGAATGTGTAAGTTAGTTTATTTTTAGAGACTTCAAATGGGTTATTTTCTGCAAGAAACAAAACATAGGCTACTTAAAAAAGCTTTGATTAGTAGCCTAGAAAGAGTTTGACAGACTTTAGTAATATTTTATCTGTATATACCTATTTAAACAGAGCAGAATCTAAACAGGTGCGTTTTATAATGGTGAATGTATGGGCTGCGTCGGCTTCTGCCAGTCGGGAGTGGGGGGAGCTAGACCGAAAACAGTGACCACAGTGCCACTAGAGTGCAATTTAACTTAGTAGTTTTCTTTTACATCGTTGGGTATGTGTATTACCGATAAGTAATCTGTTTAAGAACCTAATAATGATTTAATTACATTCAGTCCCCCAGTTCGCTACTGTCAATGGTTGGGCTTAATGAAAATGGGCCAGTTTAACTATCCAGACCGAACAATGTCTGAACAAACCTGAGCCCAATAACTTGGGTAGACCAAGTTAGATAAGTAAGATTAAGGGTACACTTCCATATCTGTTGGCACAAACAACCGAATGAAAATATCAATCGATATTTCATTTGGTTAGTTAGGTAAGGTTAACCTAACCTAACTAACCAAACGTTATACCGTACGGTATCGAATTAAACAAGTTTGTGCCAACAGATATGGAAGTGTAGCCTGCCCAAGATTAATTCTATTTCTTTTTCTCTTTTTCCTATTCTCTTTCCTTAGCAAGATTAGGCCTTATGGTAGGTAGGCCTAAGCATTCTTTAATTCATCCAAAAAGGAATACAGTTTTAGGGTACAGTTTCTGAACTGGGCTAGATGCTAATATTGATTGAAACTATCGAATTGTAAATAATTGATTAATAATCGATATTTTTAAATATATCTATTATAAAATAAAACTATCATAACCTAACCTAACCAACCAAACTTGCTGATGGTGAAAAAATCGCATGAAGGTTTACTAATTGAATCGATAGTTTCAATCAATGTTAGCATATAGCCCAGTTAAGAAACTGTACCCCAGTTTTATGTTATTGTTTGGTAGTTTTACTTTCAATTGTGTCATCAAATTGATAAATAGGCCTATAGACCATTGGACCAGTTTTTGTTTACAAAATAAAACTGTCAGTGATGGATTGTTAAAATATCGAAAATGTAAAGTGAACCTGATTGTTATGATAAGCAAGGCCAGGACATAAACAAGTTGCTGTATTTTAGATGAAGTAGGCTAATATTAAGTAAGATTATACTACTTTAACTATGGTTTTAGGTTAGCCTAAGTAAGTTAGGCCTATCTTAAATTTGTCCTGCATAAAATATCAAAATAAATGAATATTATATGTTGATTAAACCCGACCTTGAACGAAAATCTCTAAGTAACCTTGAAATCTGAAGGTAGCCGCTCCTGTAAAGTTGTGAATGAGAGAATTTCCAGAGGATGGAGTAGTTGTTGTAGAGGTGGTTACAGTAGTTAGTTCTAGTTGTGTTGTGATGATGATAATGGTGCTGGCTAGTGATGGGAGAATCGAATACAGAATCGAATAGTATTCGAATACAGCCCGAGTATTCGTAGATTCGAATACTTCATATTCGTACGAATACTTTTTTGTGAATACTCTTGACATCAGATTTTGCAGGATTTCTTGAATCTAGAAAGCGAATTCGGGGGATTTAAAAATGTATTCAACACTTTTTCAACTACTGAATTCCCTTTTGAATATCTTACGAATCCGTAGCATTCGTAAGAGTATTTAATGTTTTTACTGCAGCATTTGTTTTCATCTATTCGTTATAATTTTACCATTAGCCCTATAATTTACATAAGATTATTATTAATCGTTAACATTTAGAATATATTGGATATTTAAAATATTAGGTTACTACTGGTTGAGGGCAATTGAATAGAATTTATTATAACTACCGGTACAACTGATTTATATAGTTACATGGCAAAATAACATGCATATCTGATGTTAATTATCCATACAAATGAATAAGACATATTATTAAAGATATTAATTAGTTAATATAAAAGAAAATAATACATTAATAAGACTGTAACTGACCATGAAAATAATATAAGTAAAAAAAAAAATGTACCTTTTAAAAATCATATAATTTAAAATTACATTGAATAAATTATATTAATGAATTAATTACTGTAAAACGAAATAACAGTGGCCAAAAGAACGGTTGCATTATGAAAAAAGAATTACACACTCATTTTCCATGCTTTGCATACTCAAAGGTGTTCGAATACAAGTATTCGTAAAAGTATTCGAATACAGGGGAGGCTACGAATTCACTGTATTCGATTCTTTAGAGTATTCGATTCTCCCATCACTAGTGCTGGCTCTGGCTGCTATGCTATATAGGAGCTGGGGTTGCCCACTCGGGGCTAAACAAAACAAAACAGATCGAAGTCAATAACACTGTTCAAGGCACTGAGCTATAATTCTAACTGGAGGTAGCACTGAATGTCAAAGATGCGTGTCGCCAGCCGCCATGTTTGCGTGAGGTGTGAGTTATAAGAAGCCATATTATTGCTATGGCTATTATTATACTTGGCTTAAAATACCTACTTTGTATGGTCGCCATTTCAAAGAAAATTATTAAAGTATTAAAAGTATTCAAGTATGACAAAAATACTCACTGCTATACCAACCTAGTTATAAGAAGCCATGTTATTGCTATGGTAAGAAAACTTACTGATATACCAACCTAACAAAATCAGCGACTCGCTTTTGACAGACTTCTGTCATGGCAGTGCTACCTCCAGTTATAATTTTAGCTCAGTGGTTCAAGGTCAATATTAATCAGCTGTTCAATTGGTATTTCAGATCAGTTTCAGATTGTGGCCTCGGCCCTCGGCCTCGCTCGCATTGGACTATTGGAGTCTCTCTCTAAACCTCTCTGTACGCATAAGTTTTTAGCGAATTTCCCATATAGGGAATAAGCTATTACCGTAGGTTTCATGGTAAGACCTAGACCCGGGACCGATTTACTTTTTCGTTTTGAGGTCCCCAGAGGGCAAAAACACCATCCGTTCAAATTCATATATATATATATATTTATATATATATATATATATATATATTTATATATGTGTCCGTTAGCGCGATAACTGATCAAAAACAAAATTGATCCGATTTTGATGAAATTTGGTACAAACGTGTAAACCTACGTTTATTCGAACGAGTTCGCAAACCAGCATAATCGGACCATGGGATCAGGGGTTTATGGGGGGTTTTATGGGGTAAAAATGGGTTTTTCTCATTTTTGACCCTAAAAACTTTAAATTTCTAAATTTCTCTCTAGACCATTTTGAAGAGCTTAAAAAAACAAATAATTTAGTATATTGAAGTGTTTTTGAATGTTCATTGACTACGGAGAAAATTAAAAAAATTGTAAATTTAAAATTCCCATGTTATTCTTATGGAGAATAAATAAACTGTTCTAGTTTGCTTGTTAATGGATATATTTTAATCAAATTTGGCAATTTGGTTTATTTCATACTAAGCTATCAATATTTCAATTGAAAAAAACACACCTCAACATCTTCCCCGTAGCAGCAAACCTAACTAATCACTAAAATTAATGTTATTTAAATAGGAAATAAATCTGAAAATTTATAGGGAATATTTTAGTAGAAATCAAGCCGGGTAAATGGAAATTTGCTTAGTATGCAGGTTTGCTGCGACGGGGGTATTTAAATATAAGATCTATGTTCAATAAAATCGAAGAATTAGAAGTTGAAATCAAATCCAATCAATTGCAATTCCCAGAAATTTTAGGTCTTGCAGAAACCTGGTTAAACGACAAAAAGAATAAGGCATTTAAGTTAAATGGTTACAATATGATTGCTGAATCTTCCAGAGAAGACTCAAATGGAGGGGGTGTGGCAATATTTGTTAGAGAGAGCGTAAATGTCAAGTTTTTTCCTTTAGATTTGAAGACATTTATGATAGAAGGCATCTTTGAAAGTAATGCATGTATATTTACATGTGGTAGATATAAATTTATTGTATTGGTTGTATACAGACCACCTTATGACAACAATCTATACCAGTTCATGGATGTGCTGGAAGACTTGCTAAATCAGCTAAATTCTTTTGACTTACCACTCATTATATGTGGTGATATCAACATTGACGGTAAGGAGGATTCACTGAATAGAAGGTGTTTGTATGATGTCTTGGACTCGCACAAACTCAAAAATATAGTTACGATGGACACCAGAGTGACGGAATGCTCTTCGACACAAATTGATTATATTATTTTAAATGACGAGATAGAGTTCACGGACTATGGCACAGTGGCTACTCCCATGTCTGATCACGATTGGCTGTTTATTGATGTAGTTGTGGAACAGAAAAAGAATGTCGGCTTAAAAATTGAAAAGAATAAAATTACCAAGTCCGGGATGGAAGAATTTTTATATCGTCTGGAACAAGAAAACTTTCTAGAAGATGGAGAAGGTACCTCTGACGAGTTATTTAATGAATTATATGATAGTTTTGTACATAATTTTTCTATTTGTTTTCCCCAACAACTTGTAAATGTGAAAAATGAAGATGATTCTAACTGGATAAATGATGAGATTAGGCTATCAAATGAAAGACTGAAGGAACTCTATTGGGAAACTCGCAAAACGAGGGATATTTGTACTAAAAACCAATATAATACGGCAAAAAAACTGCACTCACAACTGATTTCATCGTGCAAAAAAGAACACTACAAAAAGAAAATGATGAAGTCACAGAATATAAGCAAGGAGTCATGGAGGATAGTCCATGGACTTACCCGGGACACGATAACTCACAACAACATAATACTCAAGGAACAAAAGGACATTGTAGACAACCCTGTCGCAGTAGCTAATGCCTTCAACAAGTATTTTTACGAGGAAGTGAACAATTTAGTAGGAACAAATGATTCAGCAAATAAAGCAGCTACTGGAAGTGGGAGACCTCGCTTTCATATGAAACTTAAACCAACGAGTGAAGATGAGATAGCTGAAATTATAAAGAAAATTTGTATTAAGCCTAGTGCTGGTATTGACGGCATACCCTGCCATGTTTTAAAATCATCTGTGTCAGTTGTGGCTAAACCACTATCGCTTATAATAAATAAATCCTCCAATGAAGGCAAGTTCCCAGATAGGATAAAAACATCGAAAATAGTCCCCATCCACAAAAAAAATGAGAAAGATGTAGTGGGTAACTATCGACCCATAGCCGTACAATCTGTGTTCTCAAAAATTTTTGAGGTAGCTTTCCTACGCAGGCTGATCCCATATTTAGAACAACATGATATCCTATCAAATAGTCAATTTGGCTTTCAAAAAAAGAAGTCAACCACAGATGCTGTTTTTGCCCTGCTAACTGCAGTATATAATGGAATCGACTGCTCAGAAGTGGTTTTCAGCCTATTCTATGACATGACAAAGGCTTTTGACTGTTATTTGCACCACGAGACCTTAGAAACAAAGCTGATCAATCTAGGCATAATAGACGAGCCCCTTAAATGGATTATGTCCTACCTGAAAGACAGATCTCAAGTTGTTACAGTGAAACACATGGGTGATGATGGAGTATTGAGGCACTATAAATCTAAGATTCAACACAACATTAATACCGGAGTTCCCCAAGGCTCGAATCTGGGACCGATCCTCTTTCTCTTATTTGTCAACGACCTACCTGAATCTATACATGAAGGCAGAATATGGATGTTTGCTGATGACGTTTGTCACTTAATCACTGATGTAAATGTTAAGAATGCCATTGAAAGAACACAATCTGGCATAAATGAAATGAGTAATTGGTGCTCTGAAAATATGTTAGTATTAAATCAGGGGAAGACTAACCTACTCCAATTCTACAATACAAAGATCCCAGACTTCAGTCCATTACTTAAAATCACTGATCAGAATTTACAACCAAGCAATAGCGTAAAATACCTCGGTATCCATATTAGCAGCAACTTAAGGTGGTTTGACCATATCAACAAAATTGCCAGTAGACTAACAGTTGTGTGTTGCCTGATAAGAAGACTGATAAACATAGTTGAAAGAGACGTCCTATTGAAAGTTTACTATGGCTGCTTCCACAGTGTACTTTGCTATGGAATTGCATTCTGGGGAAACTGTAGTGAAGCAAATAGAATCTTTCTACTACAAAAACGTGTTTTAAGAATTATCTGTAAAACCCACTTCATTGAGCACTGCGAACCTTTATTCAAGGATCTTCAAATACTTACCCTGCCATCAGCATATATATTGGAATCGGCCCTAAATGTTCTTAAATTTCCCGATTTTTTCCCAAGAAATAATGAAGTACATAGATACAGCACAAGACAAAAAAATAGTATCCATATCAACCATCGCAGAACTACACTAGCACAGACTAGCCCTCAATATTCAGGAAGCAAAATTTTCAATAAATTACCACAAGAAATAAGATTCTGTGAAGATCAAGC